AAAATCAAAAAAGCAATTTGCAGCAAATCCTCACATCACTGTTGCTCCAAACAACATGACGGAAACAGTTAACTGAATATCACAACAGTTTCTTTTCTTCTTATAGTGCCTGACTTAAATGTCCCTGTTCGCTGTGAGCCAGATGTTTTTACCGACACAACCTCAGCTGTTGATATTGAACTTCATTAGGTCACAGATGTGCCTCAGAACATTTGGGCATTATGTAATATCATGTGATTGTTATTATTTTTTTGTTTTCATTGAGCCTGTCCTCCCTCTAGTTTCCCCCTGGTGCTTTGTCCGATTGGTGCTTTGCCTCCAGCTTCATCCTCCTTTTCCATTTGTTTAATTGCAGTCGCTCAGTGCGGGGAGGGGAGAGGGTGTTTGTGTATAGTGCAGTGCTTCGCTGCTTTCTGCTGCTGCCAGCCCTGCACGTCGTTTTATTGATTGTACTTAGTGAAAACTCTATGTATATGAGGCAAGGTTGAGAGTTCTCCAGGGTGATGAATGCGTTTGGTAGGAACTCTGTTTAGTCAGCAGTATGGAGAGGGCTGCACCCAAATGCATGGATATCATATTACTCTGACATTTTTATGTATATTTAACACTGTGGATCTGAAGTGTTCAGATCTCCTTCGTTTTTGCACACTTTGTGTTGTAGATTTAATACATTGTCATTAGTATTGTCAAATAATTAATAATTAATCCAATACTTTCAGAAGCCTCGATGGCTGCAGGTACAGCTTCAGTCTTCTGGGTCAGTCTCTTCCAGCTCTGCACACATTTGTGGAGTTTAGGCCATTTTTCCTGCAGATCCTCTCACGTTCTATTGAATGGAGAGTATCTATGAGCTGCCATCTCAAGGACTTTCCACAGATGTTCTCATGGGTTCAGGTCTGGCCCCTCAGGTACAGCCAGAGACTGGTCCTAACGCCACTCCAGTGTTGTCTTGGCTGTTTGCTTCGGTCACTGTCATTCTGAAAAGTGAACCATCACATCGGTCTCAGGGTTTTTTTTCAGGGATCTTGTTGAATTTGGCTGCAATTCCTCCTTCCCCCAGTACTGTACTGTACGTGTACTGTAGATATCGTGTCGTTGTATTGGCTGCCCCCGTTCAGCCCACATACCGGCCGGTTGAAGGTCATGTAGAGACGTCACCTTGTGGAAATCACTCCAACTGGTGTTTGGCATGTTTTATTTCTTCACACCTGTATCAGTGCTTCACATCAAGCAGATCCAATGCAAGTTTATTCAGCAAATATTTACAGTAACCCAAGGTCTGTTCACGTTAATGACCTCCATGAAAGGAGGAGGAGCTTACAGCACTTTTCATTCCCAGGAACTAAAACCCAATAACTGTCTCTGGGGTAAAAGACCCTCGAGCGCAATGTGTGATGTGCGTTTCCATAGCAGCACCAAAGCCCAGGGAAGATTAGACAAATTCACCTGCTGATGTAAAATACGGTAACGAGCATAAGGGTTGTTAACTCAGAGCAGTGGTTCACTTCAGCTGACGTCGTGCTTTCTTCCGTGTCCTCTGCCTGCTGCGCTCCGTGTATGGAGGAGCTGAGCTCCACCCTCAGGTCAAACACCAGGAAAAGCTACTCCACATGCCCAAAACCATATTTACCAGTCCACTCATGTCACTCGCTCATCACTTTGTGTAGGCCTATTGATAAAATGCTCCCTGCAGACCGAAAACCCAAGGAGCTGGGAGTCGGTCGCATCAGTGCCCCAAATCATTTTTCACACTGATTTTTACTTGTATACGTGAGTGAAGTGCTCACAGCGTGGAGCCCAGTATGTAACCAGCCGGCCCACACAGATAGTTCTTGGACCTTTACAGGGTACTACCCCCGACTAGATACTTCTTTCAGAGGGAGAACTACAACCTGGGACTAAATTTAGGCCCTGGATCCTCCGGTGGAAGGAACTACATTGCAAAATGAGTTCCTGCTCCTCGGGAAAAGTCCTTGTGGTGGAAACCTGGTTTAAGAAGAAGTTACAGTGCAGGGAAACCTATTGCTGCCCTCCTGATGTTCATAATTGACATTATTATTCAAGTGCAGCACAAGAACTAGCATGGCAGGATACAAGATTTACAAAATCTTCTTTCACAATTTTAAGTGCAAAATGAAAAGCGTGCCCTGATTGTTCTTGTTTCTGCTCACCATTTACAACCATTGTCTTTTCATCTGGCACAAATCTATAGAGAAGAGCCCCTGAAGCTGTAACCCACCCGTCTCAGTGCCAAAATGTGTTTACTGGGCACATTTTATGGCTAAAAGTTGCTTTTCTGAGAGTTGTTAGCTCTCGATCTGCTGCTCCGGCTTCATATGGAACCATTTCTGTTGTTGGTTCATTAACTTTGTATTCACTTATTTCCAACGTGCGTCCTCATTTCCTTCACTGCACTACAACCATGAAAATCCATCCAGAGGTTTCCGTTTACTGTTGCTTCCTGTCACAGACCATCTGGTTCAGCATTGAGCTTTTAGCAAGTCAAAGTGCTGCCGGGGGGGTGAACACTGCCCTCTTTGTCGCCATGCAGACAAAGGCAGCAGTGACGTAATGTCAGGAGCAGGAGGAGGCGTGGAGCTTGGGATCTGCTGCCCTCGAGCTGCGATGCTCCATCCCCCTGCCCTGACTGAAAGTCACATGACTGGGGTTCTTTTACTTCTTGCATCACTCTTTCGCAAACTGTGCATCAGTGGGCATTGTTCTAGTCAGGAGGACTAGGGCGAGGGACGTCCACTCAGACATGGAGCATCCACTTATTAGTCAGGGTGGAGAGACGGGCAGTGTGAACATGAGCCCAGCGCCTCACTGAGACACGATGTTGGGGTTTCTTTTCATTAATTCATTTTCCACACTTGTAAGATTAACTTTTTTTGTGGTTACCATTCCACACAAAACAGCTTATCTCATACTTTTTGGCCAAAGATCAGGAGCTTTCTTGAACAGGATCAGTCAGTTCTTCCCAGAGGTCACAGAGAATCCATGGAAAAGCTTTTCCAATATGTATATAATTTGCCACAAGACCAATTCAACAGTGCAAGACTCCATCCTCCCTGTGCTGTCTGTGTTGCAGGTACAGGCAGCGGCTCCCTCTCCCACGCCATCCTGCGGACCATAGCCCCCACAGGTCACCTGCACACGGTGGAGTTTCACCAACAGCGGGCCGAGAAGGTGGCTGAGGAGTTCAAGGAGCACCGCGTGGGCCACCTGGTCACCGTCAGGAACCAGGACGTGTGCAAAGATGGGTTTGGAGTGACAGGGGTGGCAGACGCCGTGTTCCTGGACATCCCGAGCCCCTGGGAAGCGGTGGGACACGCCAAGGCTGCAATGAAGAAACACGGTAAAATACACCTGTGGCTGTGGGTTAAGATTAAAATGTTCAGAATGGGATCTTAAAAGGCTTAAAGGCTTAAAAAGTGTTAAATAAAGGCATTATTAGAAGGGAAAACTAATGACTGAGGACCACTGGGGTGTTCGGTTTAGTTAATAAATATAAAATGTGACTTTGTGTGACTCATCGTAGCACAGCAGGAGCATGACTATGACTGAGCAGCCGGTCGGTGTGGTTCCCCCCGGCTGCCTCGCCCTGCTCTGCATTCCCAGGACGACCATCAACCCTCACAAGCACAGCTCTCATTAACTTTCCCCTCGTGTGTATGTGTGAGCTCCTGGTAACGGGGCAACAGTATAAAGTCAGCCACTGAGGTAGAAAGTGTGTTGGTGTCTCTCTGACAACCAGGACCTGCAGCGTTTAGGTTTGCAGTTCGCTGAGGTGGTTAGTGTTCAGAGGACAGACCATGTACATTTCAGGTCCTGAACACTTTTCCCCCTCCCACCATTTTCTTAAGTAAAGAATCTTTGTAGAAATGGAAAAAGTCTTCACACCACACATGCTTAGAGACCTGCATTAAGATGTTGAGTGCACCAAACAACCACAGAGATACGTGGAAACTGGTGGCAAAATGCCTGCAGACAAATGTTGACATGTAATACCTCGCAGTTTTTCATCAAGTATCTTAAATACAGCTGCAGAGATACTTTATCACCCACGATCTACTTATAATCTGCTTTTTTACCATTTACTCCACGTTCCACACGCTCATCATCACTCTGACAACTCAGTACGTATCCAGTGAACCGACAGTCTCTAAATGCAGCATGATTTTCTAAAGTAAGGCCCAATTTGAAGAGGAATGCAGGAGGAGCAACAATGCTGCTCTGCGGCTCTCTCCCACCTCCCGTCTGACACCCTTTTATGGTGCAGCTGCTTCATATTCCTTCCATTAGCTGTTGACCCTCGAACACACGCAGATACAGATAAACAGAGTGCAGCCATTGTAGAAGCACTCCCATGACCATACAGGGTTATGCTGCAGGCAGAGAGCTGCTGCGTGTGGCTCCATAAGGAAAGGCTTGAGTCACTCCCCGCTACGTAGACTGGACTGGATGTCTTATCCAGAGAGCGGAGCCGAGATGAGCGCCGCTGCCCCAAAACACTTCAGCGGCCAGAGATCATAAGTTAACAAAATCAACCTGGGCAGAGTCTGACGTGAGAGGACTTGACCTTTGAGCCTAATTAGGTTGTGAGCATAAAATCCATCCACTGAGCCAGTGTCACCCAGAAACTAGTTGCAGACGTATGAGCCACAGCCTGAAGCTGTGAGGTTGTTCACTTTTCTGCAGCCTTGGCCAGATGTTTTCAAACAGCCATAGTCGAGAGGTGAAAGACACGTAGGGTGATCCAGATGTTCATCTGGAGGTTCGTATTGTAGTTTGTCCTGCTGACGCACAGCTCACAGAGGCAGTACAGGTACTTTTAAACACTCAGTAACAACGTGCATCAAACTCTTGTCTAAACACATGGACCTGATAAAGAAACTCACTTTATTAGGTACACCTGTGTGCACGTCAGTGCAACACTTCGGCCGGAGGTCATAGTTAAAGGTGGTGTCTCTGTATTTTTGTCCTCCCCAGCTTACATACATGTGAGGGTCAGAATGTAATGTAGTCCCTACAGCAAGGAACACCTCTGAATGTAATGTAGTCCCTACAGCGCCACCTTTAATTAGAGCGCGGTTGTGACAATGTTAGTGACAAATATGGCTGCAAACTGTCAGTTTTCATCATCAGTCTCAAATAATTAGTTGTTTGGAAAATAGCAAATGAATGAACAGTCATTTCCCAGAGGCCAAGTTCATTTTCAAATAGCCTTTTGTGTTCGACCAACATAAAAGTGGAAAAGTTGGCAAATCTTCACACTGAACTGTCACGTGCTTTTGCTTATAAAGGCGCGATCGGTTATCAGAATATATTTTCCTGTTGACTGATGGTAGCAGGGTGAGACTTTGAAAACCCAGGTTTCTGCTGCAGAGAACTGCTTCACTGCAAAGACAGCGTCAGACAAGGGCGGTGAAATGTTCCTCTTTGTTTTTCCTCTGAGTTGAATTGAATTCTTGTGTTTTGGCCTGCAGCCCGGCTCCTCTGCTTAGCTGCTCTCTGAATCCTGACAGAGGCCCTGTTTCCCTGTGTGCTCAAAGACTCGGGAGTTGTATTATGCAAGCATGGGAGGGGTCTGCTGTAATGTTCATCAGACAGCGGAGTTTTCAGCAAGGCTGCCCTCTGCAGACCGGTTCTGTTTCACTGAGCGCCTCAGCAGTGTCTGAGACATGTTGGAACCTTCTGAATTAAAGGTTTGGCGACTAATGGACTCCAGCTCCCATCAGGCATCTGCCATCCATGGACACTGCAGCTTAGTCCCCTCTCGAATGTTATAAAGTGAAATCAAATGGGCAGAGTGCAGCATGGCTCCCTGGATGCTCAGTAGGAGACAGAAGGGCTTTGAGGTTCAGGGCATGAAGTTTTCTCTTGACTGGTGAGGAAACATGTGGGCTTACAGCCTGGAGAGCTTTGTTGGATTGCTGTGCAGCCATAAAGGAGTTCTGCAGATACAGAAGAGAGATTCTGTAGGTTTTAGAGGCTCACGGAGAAAACGACAGATGTTTCCCAACTCTTAAAAGTTCCCTGTGGACTGTCATGGATCTGTTTTTCTAGGAGTCTGTCACTGTTTTGTTTATGCCACATGTGCATGTGTGTGCATGCACCAGTTACATGGTATACAGTCAGTGCAAATGGTGGCACATTATTCCCCAGAAGATCAAGAAAAGCAGCAAAGACAGAGAAGAAGCCACACAGGGTATCTTTAACAGCATGTTCTGTGGAGCCAAGAGTCAAATAAGCTCATTGATTAACTCACTTGCTGGGTATCGGGGGGGGCCTGGGAGGCAGGTTTATCTTTAAATCCTTAAACATATGAAAGCAGCAAGCATGAACTTCATGTAATGACCCCTGTTTCCATTGCTGACGTGTCAGTGGAAATGCACATCCCAGCTTCAGGGTGGCTGCATCGAGTTGGTCCATAAGTCGGACATGTCACTTCCACCTTTACTCTTCACCATTATCAGTATTCAGGACTGAGTGGCTGGTGGTGTTTCTGTCAACGAACCTAATCAGAAAAGTTGTTTCCTGCATTTGACAAAAACTTGATATTGAAGTGTTTCACATGAAGACGACAACATTTGGAGTAGGAAGTGAAACCTCAGTTTGTCCGTTGAGCCCCTGCCCAGCTGTGTCCTGAGTCACTGCTCCAGCCTCCTGCTGCGTTCGCCCATTTAGAGCCCGTCCGCCATGGCAGGGAGGGGGGTCTCAGTTTATTAGAGCACCGGCTCGTCCCCTGATGATCCACAAACTACAGGCTGTAGCCGACAGGTCACAGGGCTGCTTAGTTAAGGAAAACGAATCTGCTTTGGAAGTGCAAAACCAACCAACTATTAAAATAGTATTATGGGTTTCTCTAGAATGAGACTGGAATCCTCTGGAGTCTGTATTAAGTTTGGAAAAACTGCTTTCAGTTATTTATCTTTGTCCATTAGGTTTTTTAAAGTGTAACCCTACAAAGAGCAAACACACACCTGCAGCCCTGTTTGACATGTGGCACTGTGAGGGAGGCGTGAGTGTCTCGGCCAGAATAACCACACTGGGATGGTACAGTAAACTGTGTAATCTTATTCAGAAAGGCTTCTTCTTCATTGTTGATTCTATCAAACATGGTTTATTCCTATGAAGAGGCTACACAGGCTCATGTTAGCCAAGCCAAGGTCCTGGTGGCGTTTGTCTGCTGATAAAGACGGGCACGTTGAAAAACACACAGTGGCAGAAACAGATGTGATAACGAGCAGAAGAGCCGTGCAGGACCTTGCTGAGTTTGGGCATCATGTCCCTCTTCTGTGTTTCTCTAGGGGGGCGTCTGTGTTCCTTCTCTCCGTGCATTGAGCAGGTCCAGAGGACGTGCGAGGCGCTGACACACCAGGGTTTTGAGGCGATCAGCACCATGGAGGTGCTGCTGAGAGTCCACGATGTCAGAACCGTCTCTCTGCCGCTGCCTGACTTTGGTCCCGACGCCTCCGCTCAGACTGAGCCTGATGCCAGAGAGGAGACGCCTCCCACCTCCACACCAAACCACCCCTCCATCACCTTGAAGACCACCACACCCCCCAGGGAAATGCCAGGTCACACAGGGTACCTCACCTTCGCTACCAAACCAAGAACCTAACGCCCAGAAGCCCCAGTGACTTAGTTTTTCTCTAATAGGGTTTCTAATCTAGTACATAATAAGAGTGTGATAATGCAGCGGGGCACCAGGTCCTCCAGGTCCTGGTTGGTTCTGCAGCACCAAGAAGGTTCACAGTCCTGTTTTGCATCGTGTTGTGCTCCTGTCACTCGGCACTGGTTTGTTGCTTGGATCAAGCAAGACTGAAAATCAAGTAGGCAGCGCTTTCCTTTGAGAAGAATATCCTCCCCTTTTTATACAAATTGATTTTAATCGGTGCTTTGATTTTTTTTTTTTAAGGGGAAAAATGATTTTTTACATTTATGTAAATACAGTAAATGTGTGAAAAGATTCTTGTTTCATTCTTTTGTACTAGAAAGACAAAGGTTTAATGGCCTCAAAGCCAATGTGAGCTGTCAGGTAACGGCTTCCAGCTACAGTAAAGTTTTTACCGTACATAAAAACAAACTGTCCTCTTGTTACTACACTCTTCTCTGTCGACATGTTGGACGTCCTGCACCAGAAAAGGCAGAGAGACTGGCGGCAGTTAAACACAGAGGAGCTTGTGTTGCCTCCTCCCAGACATCCACTCAGTCGCCGCCACTTTTCATAAGCAGCCTGACTGATCGCACCGTCCAGCTGAGGCCCCCCTCTCCGAGAAGAGCCATCGGTGCACTGACAAACACGGGACGATCATTACTGCTGTGTTGATTTTGGCTTCTGGTTGTTCTCATTTGTCTCTTTAGGAAGGATTTCACTCCAAGAAACAAAGCATTTCCAAATGTTAAGCATTTAAAATCAAAGGCACTTGATGTGAGAATGTAACTTTCAGTCATTTTGACACATTTTTCCTAAATTAGACCTGTTTTGGTCAGTGTTGTAACATCTGACACTTGGTGTGCACTGGGGATGTCCAAGCTAGTTGACAGTATAATCCCAGCCTCGCTGTGGGTTATAAAAATCACAGAGGTTGTTTTGGAGCGTATGTGAAGACAAGCTGTTGCCCGTGAGTGTGTTTGAGTGAAAACAGACAATTTTCCACTTCTGGACTGGGCCTGAGACCAGCTCCAGCAGCAGCTTGGGGTTGGAAAATACTCTGTCAATATCTTAGTAAACGAGCAGAAACCTGGCACCAGAGTAAAACTACTTCATTCTGTGATGCTCTCCAGTTATTCTGGCGTGAGGTCAGGAAACCAAGCGTCCTAAATAAGCCCCTGTTGGTTCGGGTAAACAGTGGAAACAGGGAAGTCTCTGAATCGGAGGAATGGCTGTTTGGGCGTCTTTTGAGTTTTCTGGTTTCCACATCGGCAGGGAGTGTGTGGGTGGAGGAAGTGAGTAACACTCCATGTTGAGGAAGTGGGCGTCGGTGGATTTGTCTTGTCATTAGTGAGAGAGAGAAAACGGTAACAGCTGTGGATCCTGCAGCCAAATAAATACAGTCTGGATGGAAGTGGAAAACAACCGGATAACACCTCCTATATTTAGCTTTCCTCCATCTTCTTCTTTTGCCCCCATCAGATACATTAACACAGCAAGTATTTGTTCGTATGTTGCTGGAGATGATTTAGTTTAAGGGCCAGTTACAGCTGCACCAGTCACTACTGAAATGCTCATAGTGTCTCACCATTCTCACAAACCTCCTCCAGCAGCAGGAGCAGCACGTGCTTTGTGATAAACTCCCCATACACCACCTGACCAGCAGCAGACTGCACACACACACACATCTGGGGCTCCTCCTTCACACTCTGTGATTTTGGCCTGAGTCATTCATCCAAAACACTAATCTTTAATCTCACTGAGAGACGTGTCCAGTGACATCTGATTTGCAGGTGTGGAGACCAAAGCTGCAGCATAAATCAGTTATTTATGTTCTGCACTAAACGTGGGTTGGTATGTTTTACCCGTTTACTACAAGTGGCATATACTTTACATCACAGAATCATTTTGCAAACCGTTCCATGATTCCATTGGTTTCCATTCATTTCTGTGTTTCTCTGTTTATCATACTGTTAAAACATGCTGGACTCATGTTACGTGAGCTCCATCGCCCTAATAATACAAAACTGACAAGATACCGACTTGATGTTCACTAAAATTGATGAGAAAGTTTTGAGAATAAACAGGAACCGTGGCGTCCTGGAACGACAGGAAGAACGTATCCAAAAATGAGTGTTTCTCTGAAGTCAACATGATTTTAATCCCCCATTAAATAAATGTCATCTGATTTTCTCTGGTTAACTTCCAGAAAACTGAGTCATGTAATTGAAATGAAGCCAAAATAGGCCCCAGTGAACCGTCCCCCCCACAGATCAGGAGCAGCAGCAATCAGCTCCAGAGGCTTCTGCCCTGCTGACACCCACCAAGCATCCTGACCAGCGAGTAGAGCGTGCACGAGACAGGCCGGCACACGACCAGATCACAGCAAGGTGAGGGGGCGTTATGCACAGTTTGTGTTTAGTGAGGACAGAAAGTGGAGCAGAAGAACTGCAGGCCTCACATCTGGCCTGCTCGTCTGGTTCCACCTCCTGTAATGTGAGGACCTCAGGAATTTATTGGAAATACTTGAAAAAGATCTTGAAGTGACTGATAGGAACACAGAGCGTTGTGCTGCTGGTTGTTCCTGTCTAGGTGTTTTGTTGTGACAGTGTACTTCAGTTTGAACATCCATGTTTCCTGAATCTTAGTAACAACTGAGCTTCTCTGTAACTAAACTTTAAAGAAAATAACCAGACTGCACTGTACTGACCAAATTACTGCATGGGTGGAGAGAGAGGGGAGGAGCTCTGCTCTGCACCGTGGGACGACCCTCAGCCCAGGCCTATAACTAAGGGATGGTCCACCAAACCAAACGTATCCTAGAATGCACATCCAATCATTTCATAGACACACGGGCTCAAGCGAAGGCCAACCTGAAGGAGACATCTGTGTCTAGGAGGTGTTGGATACAAGGTTAAGAAAAAGAAACAGGTTGTACAAAGACGAGGACCGCAGTGTGTCCACTTCTGAATGCCCACATGGGAGCTGTGAGTTACTGCAACTGTCAGTATCTTATCTGAGCAACATGTAAATGTGAAGCCTGCAGACCAACGACATATAAGAGCTGATGTGCTGCATGGACACCGGCTCTTATCTTTAGTTTTCTCCAGTCAGAGGTCACCACACTCCTGCACAGGTGACTGTGACATTAGAAAAGAAGAAAGGAAGCAACTTGTCCAGTCAGAGGTCACCACACTCCTGCACAGGTGACTGTGACATTATAAAAGAAGAAAGGAAGCAACTTGTTTTCTTATTTTCCTTCACGTTCATTGTCGTCAGGCTGATAAACAATGTTCAGCAAAAAAACAAAAAGACATTTAATGCATGCTAACCATTCTTTAAAAGCCTTGTATCAGTATCAGCTTTAACAAACCTTCATTGGTCACAGTTTTACAACGCTCAGTTTAATAAACCAGTCGCTTATCATGAGAGTAGAAGAACATGTCATGGCCTCATCACAGCCTCTGATTGGCTGCAGGTGATGTCACCTGTCCCAGTGCTTGTCATTGAGGAAGTTAAAAGTCATTAGAAGGTGATATGAGATGAGGATCCTGTGACCTGCATGTTGGCTCGGTCTAATCGCTGCTTGCTGGACTGTACATATTTACAGTCACAGGTTAGACACAGAGCTCAACCTTGTGATAATACGGCAGGACGACAGCACAGTTAAGGGCAACACATTGCTTATATACACCTTAGAGAATAAGGCTGGTCATTTTCTATATGGATAGAATTTTCAACAATCCCTATACAGAGACTAAACGAGACTAACCTCCTCCTTCATGAAAGCGAGCATGTTCAGTTTGTGTTCAGACTGAGGTGTTTGAACTGTTTTGTGGGAGACGTACTGTAGTTGGGCGTCAGGCACACATTATGCATGATTCACTGTCATGGGATGCAACATGTGTAACATTGTGCTTCTCTCAGAAAAAATAAACTTGAGGCCAAGTGCTCTGACCGATGAAATGCATGCAGAGACACCTGACGTCTGGCTAACAATAGAAAGAAAGATGAGATGCTTCTAGATTTACACCAGCTGGAAAAAATGTCACAGGCACTTGAGGAATGAATGACACATCCTACAGACAGATGGAATTTTTGAGGACATTTCCCCAGACTTCGGTTGCATCCCTATTCCCTTAACTGATTGTTGCTCGTTCCTTGATCCTTGCTTGACCCAGAGGTCGTTGCACTCCGCCATATTGAAGGATGTCTCAAAGCTCTAATTTCTGCTCTGAAGAGAGAGTAGGCTGCTGGAGGAGCCATGAGTTTCCATTGCAGCAGTCTTTTATGGACAGACACCCCTTTTATCAGAAATCAGTTGGTAATTGGATGAAGGTGTCTCTACAAATGTGAGGGAACCATAAGGCACTTGAGGGAATTGGAATGTACCCGTGTCATTCCATATTTCCACATCTGTCCGCCTGTCATCTGACCCCGCACACCTGCCTGTCCAGCTACTCCAGTCACATTACAGGCCATCAGCGGTGCAGCACTGCCCAACCTGTTCCTCTCTCTGAGCTGTTTGCATTCAGGTGTAGAAACTGTGCAGGAGTTGGTCCCATTTTTATGGGGCTGTAAAAAATGTTTTATTGCTGTTCTCATGCAGCCGATACAACTTTCCACCAATCATTAGCCAGGCAGAGCCTGTAGTTCTTCAGAATTCCATCGCCATTTCCTTATTCTTTGTTTCACACAGTAAAATGTGTTAGTTAGATTCCCCCAGGGGGGAGGAGAGGGACAAACCACCACCTTAGCCTAAAATCCCAAACACAGCACACGTCTTGTTCCAGGTGTTCCAGGCCTCGGCCCTGGAACAGTGAGCGTCTGCCCCCTGCAGCTCACACTGAGCTACAAACTGAGACATCCGCCCTAAGTGCACTGTTCCCTGTTTCCCAGCTTTGCTTTGTAGTAAACGGCACTTCAGAGCACATGGATCTGAATAAAACATGACAAGCTCTCACCCATTGGCTTCTGCTTAGGCATCAAGCTATTCCTGTGCATCTGTAGACGCCAGAATACATGACAAATGGAGCGCAAGTGGAATTTTTCACACAAGAACTGTTTTCTGGGGCAAAATGTTCTGCAGCTGAACAGACGTGCATTTTACTGGGGGTGAAGAACAAATAGCCACATCTGTGTATGTTCCAGTAATGGCCGATACTTAAATCGACTTTTTTTTTTTACGCTTCCTTTCTGGTAACTCTGACAGTGCTGGTGCACTTTGCTCGGAGTGCACCGCGGCCTCACACTGAATTAGAGATGCAGTCTGTGGGAGAGGACATGCACGATAATATCCATGGGCCAAACAGAGA